TGTACTTAATTTCAAGTTGGATTGATTGAAACAGAGTCATATAGCTACCCACCTGCCAACTGTTTACCGCCAAAACTCTTGCAAAGCTCCTCATCCACGACTCCAAGGCCACCAGTCTATCCGCATTTTCGTCCTTCACTGCCTCGCTTGGTGGTGGTGATTCGCTTGAAAGAGAATCCTTGTTGGCTTCGGAGACGGCGCTGTCGCTGGATGTGGACGGAGGAGATGAACCAGGAACGCTGGGCTTACCCAACTGCTGCCAGCTGTTTGCTGCCAGAGCCCAAACTTCAGGGTTGACTCTTCCCACACTGAAAGCATTACAGTTCACAATGACGAGAGAGGAGATTTGCAAGGAAGACGAGGGAGAGAGAGAGAGCCAACAAAAGCATGTCAGTTCATGATGATGACGAAAGCGAGGAGGGTTTTCCACAGAGGTAAATAAAAAAAAAAGAAATTTGAGTAGAGAAAAAGCAAACGGAGGGAAGAAACTCTTGGTATCTGAATGTGAAAAAAAGCAGTGATCTGAACACGGTGGTGGTATTTCATACTATTTGCTCTTCCAAAGATGGCAGAGTGGAAAGAAGTAAACACGAAAAAGGAAGACCACTACCATTCAATGACAGCTTCAAAAACCCTACACATTCAGCAGCGGTAAAGGCAGCGAAGCAGGCGGTGGCGGCGGCGGCGGCGGCGGCGGCGGAGGAGGAGGAGGAGGAAGAAAAAGGAGAAGAAGTAGACCACCACGGCAATGATGACAAAGAGAAAGGCAAAGAAGACGACGACAACGAAGAAGAACAAGGAAACAATGACGATGATGATAATGATAATGACGACAACGACGAGAATGAAGAAGAAGAAGAAGAAGAAGAAGAAGAAGAAGAAGAAGAAGAAGAAGGGGAAGAAGGGGAAGAAGAAGAAACATCTATGTCTGAGGATCCTTTTCTGCCTTATCTTGTGTTATTTGCTGGGCTACCAGCCGAGCGGCCCGGGTCACCTTGTTTGCCCGGGCGGCCTGGCCGTGCAAGGACCAAAGAAGGTCCGAGCCAGTGTTGCACACCGCGACCGTCGGCGACCCTTGACTGGTCGACACCTACCGGTTGGGAGTCGTCGGTACCCTGCAAAAAAGAAAAAGAAAAAAAAAAAGAGGGGGTACACAACCTCTGATAACCCCACCAACACCGCCATACCCGCCCCAAATACCCCCATACATCCCCCCAACACCCCCACCCCCTCCCAACACCCTCATACCCTCCCCCCCGCCCCCCATACAAAACGGTCGGTGGTCGGGGTCGGTGGTAGGCAGGTATGCAACTATGGTCCGAGCGAAAAAAAAAAAAAAAAAAAAAAAAACAAGAACACCAAAAAATCTGGAAAAAGTTCGAAAAACAAAATAAAAAAGTAAAAAAAAACTACGTTCTGCTGAAAAATGAACTCAACAACTTTTGCCTCAGGGTCTCATCTCAATTCTTTACCAAATTTTAAATAGAAAACAACAAAAAAAAAGTACTTTCTTTTTTTTTTCCTTTTTTTTTTCGGTTGGGACCGTCCGTGCAAGTGATCCCGGGCCACTCTGTTAGCCTAGGTTATTTCAACTTATTTGTTTATTTTTACTTCCTTTATGCTCATGTTAGTTACTGGAGACAACTTCGTTCAAATCAGGGCTCATCCCTGGTTGGAGGGACCGGGGTCCCTCCCGGATCGGGAACCTGCCAGTTGGACCAGACGGTCGACCGGCCCAACAGATCCCCGGTCCCTCCAACCGGCATCACGCTTGGAGGAGGGGGGGGGGGGGGGGGGGGGGGGGGGGAGTCACGGGCATCCCCGCAATTCCCCAGCCACCGACAGGCCGCTGCCTCTTCGACAAAAATAAAAAACGGGGCCTTTTGGACCCCACTTCTTGAGAAAAAAGGGCGGAGGATCTCCGCCGCTGATCTTTGCAGATCAGCGGCAGAGAACCGCCCACTCTTTTTTTTTTCAAAATGTGGGGCCCCATAGCGCCAGGTTTTCCAATTTGGCATTGTGAGGTCCGATTGTCCACGGGCCAGATGCAATTAACAGGTAACTACTACTAAGTTGCTAACTCTCGTCCAACCTGAGCGTGGAGGGACGAGAAGAACATGTTTCAACAATGGATTTGCTCACCGATTATATGCTCCTCCGACGTCCCTATGTCTGGGGAAAAAGTTATGGGTTTGCATTTCAACAATGGTTTTGCTCACATATTATATGCTCCTCCGACGTCCCTATGTCCAGACGAAAGCAATACCTCCCTGAGCCCACCGAAATGATTACTCCCCCCTTGCCCCTGGGAAAGGCCCCGAATCCAACCCCCCCCCCCCCCCCCCCCCCCCGACCGTCAAAAAAAAAGAAACGGCTTTTTTTTAAACCGGTCTCTTGGTACTATTATGGGTCTGTCTCTTATACACATCTAGATGTGTATAAGAGACAGGTACTATAGCAGTAGGCTTTTCAACCATTGTTAGCGTGTGCCAGTGCCTTTATGTGGGAACCTTCTTTCCCTTTTTTTTTAATATGAAAGAAGAAGAAGAAGAAGAAGAAAAGGCAGGGAAGAGAGGAGGATGAAGATAAGTCTTCAGAAAAGGGGCACCAGCAAGATGTAAGAAGGTTGTGGAGAGTCAGAGAGAACTCAGCACACGTTTTTCGTGTAATCCGCTTTTTTGCATTGGTAAGATATCAAGAATAAATACAAAGATTGGATTGAAAAAAAAAAAAAAAAAAAAAAAAAAAATGATATCAAGTATTATCAACTTATCAAAATTCAATTTCGCGAAGTTCAGAACAAGGTACACGTTTTTTTTTCCTGGCTTTAAGGGGGTTGGGGGAGGGGGGGCGGGAGGAGGGAAGACAATTGAGTTGGAGTCTGTTCGACCATAGCACTCTAAAAGCCAAGTCTTTTTTTTTTTATTTGACGGGTGCATGATCACCCAGGACTGTTTTTAAAAGGCAAAAAAAGTTAAACAAACAAAAAAAGCCACCCCCCAAAACAAAGAGGAGAGATGGTGACATCATACACAAGGAGGAAGTTCTCTAATCAAAAGGGAAAAAAAAAAAAAAAAAAAAGGACTTGTCTTTTTCTGCAATGTGTTGAGGTGGGACGTCAACCAACCCAACCTGCCATATGGTATTGGAATTCCAAGAATCATGGAGATGGTTGCCGCAAAATCAATCTGAAAAAGTGGAGCGAAGAAACAGCACAGCAAAGTTGAGCAAACTCAGTTTGTGTCATTTTTTTTCTGAGGGCAAAACCTGAAAAAAGGGCCCAACAATGTCACCAGACTCACCACGTGATCAGGCTGAAAATGGGACTCGGAAACAAAAAAAAAAAAAAAAAAGAAAGCTGAAAAATGGGCCCCAAACAGGGGCGAGCTGAAACTAGGCAGCACAGCCAGATATCCAGTTCCGTCTTTTTTTTCTTTTTTTTTTTCATCCAGATTTTATCTGGCTGGATGAAATTTCCGGATAAGGGATATCATCAGCCCAGCCGCACAAAATAGGGTTGTTTTTTTTTTTTGGACTTTTTTTTTTTTTTTTTTTGACTATATAATATAATAATAGTATAGTGTTGTAGATCGTGACAATACAATCGACTTCGGGATGAAGGTCCTCTGAATTCCCTACACATCTAAAAGAAAAAGATTTGAAAACAGAAAAATAAAATAATAGAAACCCCCCCTCTCAAACCTTTTAAACCCTGTATATACCCCCCCTATGAACCTTTCAAACCCCCTACAAGCCTTTCCTGAAATAGAGACATAAGTGTGCTGCATTTGACATACACAGCATGCCTTCTTTTTTTTTTTTTTACTTTTCTTCTGGCGTTTTCCCTAAAAAAGACCGCAGGAAAACGAAAAAACAAAGATCGCAGGGAAAAAAAAGGGTCGCAGAAAAATGAAAAAAAAAAGATTGCAGAAAAAGAAAAAAAAACAAGATCGCAGGCATGCCTTCCTGGAGGGAGATCCCACTAGCCATGTATTTGGAGTAGTGTAGAGGGCGTGTGACCCGCCTCCGCCATCGATGGGAATGGGGATCGGTGGTTTTGTTTTTCCTGTATTTTAGCAGTCGAAAATTAATGTTTTTTTGGAGCATCCCATTGGGTGGTCTTTCTTTTCTTTTGCTTGCCGTGTTCCTCTTGGGGTCCCGAACGTGAGTGAAAATCAGACCCATTTTTTTTGTGTTGCTTTTCACTCATCTTTCACTCACCTTTGGGTCGTGGCCCATGC